CATGCCGGGGCCAAAGAGGAAACCGCGGGCGTCGAGACCGACAATGACGTCGGGAAGAGTCGGGAAAGCCTCCTTGACCTGCAACTCAAGGGCGTCGCCGAGAGTCTGGTGAACGGTGGGGTCGAGGAAGAGGGGCATGATGTCGACAAAGTCGATTCCCTTGATGGGGAAATCAGCAAAGTGACGCAGAGCGCCCGTGAGCTTCACCTTCCCACTGGCGAGTTCGGAGGAGGCGGCGGAGGCGGCGGCGGGCTGTCGTCCCTGGGCATCTTGAGGGTGGACGGGGTGGGCGGCCAAAGGGTTGATTGTAGCCGCAGAGGCGTCGTTTGAGAGGGGGAGTTGTTCGGAGGACATTGTGAAGAGAGGAGAGGGGAGGAACAGGCGGGTTAAGAAGGTCTTCTGGGCGGGTTGGAAAGCAATGATATGAGTCTGTCTGTATCAAGTTTGGCAGAAGAAAATTTTGGGGTCGGATCCCGGAGAACAGACTGAGTGTGAGCGAGAGAGGAGGGGTGTGGGACACGAACAAGTGGCAGGTGGTAAAAAAACGACGGTAAGGTTAGGATGGCTAGCACGCAAAGGTAGACAGGGTGCTGAGGGTACGTGGAGATTGTATTGGAGCTGCTAAGACAACGGAGTTACTAGGTACCGGTTCCTTATTCTGACCGAGGGGTCATGGAGGGGTGAGGAGGTGTGCGTGTGTGCCGGTGTGTGGAAGGTATCCGTACTTCGTACCCGTCGGGACTGAAGTGAGGTGTGTGAGAAAAGAGTGTGGGAAAGAGAATGGCAGGCTAGTCCAGCTCGGCTGGCCGGGGGTGGAGAGTAAGACAAGGCATGAAATCACGAAAGCAGGCTGGCAGACGGCGTGCAGGAAGGTCAATAAGATACCTTAGGTACAGAGCATCAACTGTGTACGGGCAGGGGTCATGGAGGTAGCAGAGGCGGGAAGAAAAAAATAAGGAAGAAAAAATCTACTAGAGCGACTGGGTAGCGTAGACTCTGGAGAGTGGTGAGAGTGAGAGTGAGAGTGAACGCGCACCATCGATTAGGAAGTGGAGAGTTGTGATACGGGTAGGGTGTCACTACGTGTGGTGCGAAGTGGGCAGGTCGATTCCAACTTGCCCAAGAGTGGTCCGCCGCGAAAATGACAGCGATGAGGGTACATGGCCAAGCTGGTCCAAGGCTTGATAGGAAAAGCTCATTTAAGGCGCTTCGGGATATGCCTTAGATAGGATGGCGAGCGTCCATTATCTTTGCTTTTCCTTTGTCTCTCCTGACTCCCGAGCCCTGCCTCTTGATGCGTTCTCTGCCTTTCTATTGCCGCCCAACTTGGCAAGCCCATTGCATTGAAACATATGGCTCATTGGATTTTATGTTGACTCGGAGATACCTCAGAGAGGTGCCGTGGTTTCCGCAGATGAGTGACCAATAGATGCTGGGAAACACTTGATTCCTTTCTGGGCTGTTTCTCGTCTCTTAGGTCGCGCGATATCGTATCTGGCTGTAATAGCAAATGGTAAGCCCGCAACGGCGCAGGTGGGAGGTGGGATGTCTTTCAGCCAAAATTGATTGCCCCTCCATCGCAGCAGCAACGACCCCTCCATATCCCAAGGCAGGGGACCTTGGACCGTGGACGAACGGACCAGGGAGCGCAAGAAGCAGTTCCCCACCATGCCACCACCTCCGAGAAAGGGACCGTGACACAAGCTGTCTCTGTCTCACCCTCGCCAGGCAGCCCAGCACAAACGCAAGGAAGCCTCTGGATGTTGCATGGCACGTTATCATCCGAGCCGTGAATCAATGATAGCGGTATCCCTTGTCTTCTCCTTCTTGCTGTGGCCGTTTCCCTCGTCAAGAACGGGCATGCGCATAGATATCATGTCATGGCTCTGAAGGGGGTGAGCTAGTTTTCGGTGTGTAGCTTCGTCAAGCGCCGCAGGGAAACCTGTCTAGGTAGGCAGTCTGCAGGTCGACGACATGAACTCGGTTGTGAATGTGGTTTGCTCTGACGAAGTACCAGAACCGGAAGACATTTAGCCTTGGACCAGGGCCCTTGTCTTTTCCCTGTCCGACACCGATGAAGAGGAGCGCAGCGATGAATGGCGAATGTGGTGCAGTGTCCCGCATGCGCCTGTTGGTGGCACAAACATGCCGTGCTATTTCATCACCACAATCCCCGTACGGGCTCGTACGGGTACCGCGAAGCAGAGCAGGCACGGTTCGAAGTTCGAACAACCCGGAGGGCTGTCAACGGCTTTGTTGCAAATGCAGCTTGCGCCATACCGAAGTTGCAGCGACGGTGGTCCTCAGTGCTGGCAGCGAGAATAGCACTGCTGTTGATTTCTGTGGATCATGCTACCTTCCAGGTTAGTTATTGAAGCTTGAAGTAGGTAGGGTCCTGAAGACCCGATGATACCGGAAATATCTCAGCTCGTTTCAAACGTCCGAATTACCGTGCTTTGGGTGAACAAGTCAAGGGTGTATAGTAGGAGGCGCGAACGTTCTGATGTGGAGCAGGTGAGCTGTCAATATGGCAGAGCAGGCCGAGGGGCACCATCAGGCACCCAGCGGAAGAGGTACTATGAGGTAAGTACCTTCGCAGGGGAAATAGAGGAAAGGGAGAGTATCTTACCTGTTGGTAACAATCCTGAAGTGTTAACTTGCATAAGTAGGTAGGAGCGTTCTTGCCTATCTTCCCAGCCCTAGGCATCCAAGGTAAGGAAAGGTAAGAAGGAACCTGCCTCACAAGATTATACTCATCCATGACAAGCAGGAACCAACTGCCTCAAGGCTCATGGGCTCTTTCCTGCTCCATTTGGTCTTGAGGCAGGTACCTAGTCACTTGGAATTTTCACCAAGGCAAAGGTACCACGAGATTTCTTTGCTACGGGAAGGTACTGTTGCCTAAGATAGGTAGAGACTTTTCGAACTTGCTCCTTCAAACGGCCCCCATCTCACGTCAAACGGGCCGCTTGAGGCGAACTGCGGCAAACAGCTGTTCCTCTAGGTACTCCACCCATTTTCTGAGGTAGAACATGCCATTTCTGCTCCTATTTTGCTTCTAGATGCATTCGGCCCATGCATTATTACTGTTTTTCTGCAAAGCCAATTATAGAGTACAGGCACTACAAGGTCGACCCAATGTCTTGGCCGTACTTTCCTGGGTTACCGATTACCGTCCTCTCCAGCCAAGTGAGAGTGTGGCAGTCAACACAAAACGACCTCCCATATCCATATCGGTGCACTTATACAGCATACCTCGCTAGACCACTTTGCTCAGGTCCAAGAGTGCTCAAACCTGTGCCAAACCGGAGCGATTAAGTCATCGCGGCAGATGTCCAGGAGTGCTCCTACGTGCTATGCCTGCACCCACAACTTGTACTTGTACTTACTTAACTTACTTGATTCTGTTGAGGGCTTACATATCACAGCCCACTTGTCCGGCAACTGTCTGACAGGCAACATGGTTCTGCGTCTCCGAGTGTATGAGCTTCAGCCACCAGTAACGATGGGGGTCCTAACGCTGTGCCATTCCGTCAACTATCAACTTCCACCCCACCCATTACGTCGAGAGGTCTCGCCCGTTCACTATTCCCATCGAGCCAAAACGTTCCGAGACAGACAAACCGCCGCCGCAACATCCTGCTATCACTTCGCATTGAGTCACGGCCGCGGCCAGGGTCGCTGTCGAATCACACTTCAAAGGTCCCCTGTGAACGACATGTGCCCCCGCGCTCTCGACAGGAAACGAGCCGTGTCACTTGGGATATCCCGTTGATCTCAAGCGCCAATGCATACTGAGATCCAAGCAGCCGCCGACTCATCCCACTACCACACCACAATGTCGACCATACATACATCCTGCCAAATGAGACTCGACACCTCAGTGAACCAGTGCATAGAACCAAAGTATCCGTATACCTATATCTGCCTCTGCCAGGACATACGAAGAACTCGGCCCTGGCATGTACGGGTCCATTTTCTTGGCAACCCCATCATATCCTGTCCGAATGTTTCGTGACCATCTTATCCGATCATTTCCGCCCAGCCGTCCGTTATCCTGGAACCTTCCTTTCCGATTCCTAGCATGTCACTGATGGCCCAGTCTGGAACCCGAGCTTCCATCCTTCTTCCCGTCAGCTTTTGAAGATCTTCATCCGTATTTTCGCCTTGAGCTTGGGGAATCTTGTGAACAGTGTACCTGATCGATAGAGTCTGGATCGCAACCGCTGCTGCCGTTGTCTCCACCGCATCAACACACTAGCAGCCCGTCCTACAATCATCCGATGCCGATATAGATGCCAAGTGGTAAACTACCTTATAACACACGAAAGAATCACTGTCTATAACCACAATACATGCACAGACATGTAGCGTCCCATCCCAAGTCGGAAGCTATTCCGCCAAACGTATTTAAACAGTGCCAACCCTGGCCCTTCTGCTGAGTGGCCGAAACCAACATCTTTGTTGTCATCGATTCGCCATCGGGCCCCGTTCAAGCCAAGGACGAGACGCGGCCTCCCCACGGACGGTGGGACTCGATTTCATCGGGCGGCTCGGACAGAGATGCCAGCCGTCCTCTTCTGGGTTCTTTGGAACTCATATGCCTCTGTAGGATGCTAAGGACAATTGCCTTTCCCAACGAAACATGGCGGGCTCTCTCGGTCAGCCGGTAGTCATCAGGAATTCCCTGCAACAGACCAACATTGTGAGTTTGGAACAAACTGTGGAAGCACTTCCTATACGAGCCGGGGATTATCATAGCCGCAACATGAGACGGGAAGCTTCACATGCCCGGGGCCAGCGGCGACCAAAGTTGGGTGCATTAGCGGCGTCCAAAACGCTCCGGCACAGGTGGAAACGGGCCCGTCGACGCAACCTTACGGGAGCAGGTTTTTGTAACCGGATGCCTTATTAACGGCCTTTACCCTTTCCATTTGGCCTTGGAGAAGCTTGATGATGCCGTAGCTCCGGCGCCGCTAGCGGGTAGTCGATGCCAATGAGTCAGTCTTTCATGGTCGACCATCGAGCGACCTATCCCTCACCGCTACTGTCCGAGTCTGGTATCATTGGCTCCGTGATCTGAAGAAAGAAGAAAGAGGCCTAAGAGAAAAATATGCAACTGTGGGTGACTATTTGCTGACGTCTCTCAACTTTTTTGTAGGGAAGATACAGTCAGAGACTATCCGGGTCGATGTCCTATTCGTGCCAGGTGGCGTTGGTATTCCTGATGGGTGTTGGCCGGCTGCAATCAGCCCCCATTCCAACTCGCCCGGGGAAAGCGGCTGTCCGTGGACCAATTCTGCGCGCTGGTGAGGTTTCTTTGCTTTTGTACCCCCTCTGCCTGTCAGGCAATGTCGTCGTCCCGCAGACGCAACCACGGTTACCGCTGTGGCCGGCCCTACCCCAAAATCGGAATGAAGCTTGCGGTCTCCATGGGTTCTCTCGGGACTCTACAAAGACCGCTCAGCGGCTTCAGTTTCCTTTCGTGGGCAGAGCGAGCCGCACCAGAGCTTGACCGAGTCGCGGTGCTTGGGATGAAGAGGGTGTCGACCGCGTGTGTCATGGCTCCAAGACGGGAGAGTATGGTGGTAGGACGGCATCATGCAGGTAGCCGATTTCGATTTTGACGGCGCCAATAGGATTCCCAGATGCCCGATTAAGCAAGGATCTTTGGAGACAAGAAGCAGACTGCGCGACTCAAGGGCTTTGGCAGTATCGCGTTTTCTCTTTTTCCAACTGTACACTGATTTAGTTTACTCTGCAAGTAGACAGTTACTCTTATCAATTCGCCTTTTATCTTCCTGCACATCATTCGTAATCACCAAGAAGGTCAGGTCAAGTCACCAAAGTGATTGTTGAGTCGTCTAACATGGTAATCAATCATCTCTACGTATTAACATTGAATTCCTTCCTCTACCCGCCAAATAGAAGGGTAAAATCCGAACTTTCGTAACAATCATGCCAAGGAAGGGACTGATGAGTTTTGGTATCTCTAAATCTAGTGAAACTTGGAAAAAAACGTGAGCGAGCATGGGGTATTAAAAAAGAGGAGGAAACGTGACATGGAATGAAAGGGGTATCTTTCTTGGTTCTTTCCGCACCAATAGCCAAAAAAGCAGACGCGGCAAGAACCAAAGGAAAAGAACAACATGTACGCCTATGCGAAAGAGAAGGAAAGTTGTTCGTTATCCATCCAAGAAAGAAAGAGAAAAAAAGAGTCGTACGCCGCTTTCTCTCATTCTTCGTTTTTATCGCCTGATGCTGAGAGAGGAATAGGTAACCCAGGATGCCGTGTAACACACGCTGGAAAGGGTGTGGCCTCTGATCGAAACATAGATTTGCTCAATGATTTCGGGTAACGCCTCTGCAATGGAGGAAACAGTTTGATGTGACGGTGATAAGATAGGCTGATATCGGTATGTAGGAGCCGAAGAGAGAACAAGCGGGAACTGGACGAGGTTGGGGTCGAGGGCGTTTTGCGTGTGATTGTTCCGCTTGCATTCTATCAGTGAAATTGCAGCCGGATAATGGAGAAAAACATGTTCTGCAGGACATGGAACATGACAGCCACGCTCGTCGGGAGCAGCTCCGGCCACACGGCGAGGTCGAGCTTGCCCTCCATACCGACATCGACGCCGAAGAACCAGCTGATGAGTCCGCGGACGATGACTGAGGCGACGAGCTCGCAGGCCCAGGTGACGGACGAGGCCCAGAAGGTGAGACGGAAGTCGTAGTCGTAGTCGTCGCCCGTCACTTTCCCGTCAAAGGCAAAGTACGGGTAGACGTCCTTGTTGGGCCCAAAGTGCAGGACCAGCACGCTGCCGAGGAAGGCGGCCATGGAGACGTTTTCGGCGAGGAAGCGGATGAAGACGTTGCGGGTGCAAACTTTTTGGTACGAGGCGTAGGACTGGTCCGTGAAATTCAGAGCGACGGTGATGCGGTGATAGAGGCGGGACATTGTGAGCGGGGTGAGGATGATGAGGGTGCTGCTGGAGAGGATCTGGAGGTAGATGAACTGCTCCGGGGAGCGGAGGCGCGCGTATAGAGCGCGGACGTAGGTTTGGTAGGTGAGCATGAAGTATCTGGATGGCTGATGTCAGTTCGATGTTGGATCACTCTTGCTCAGACAAGAAGTACTCACAGTTTGAAGACCCAGCTCAGGGGGTAGCTCCCCACTCGTTCGCCCTCGCGAATACCCAGAAGCCAGCCCGTGAGGACATCAAGCAGGTGAACCGTAATGATCCAGCTGTAGACGTACACGATGGTCTCCAAGTTGTTGTGAGGCAGCGTGCGCAGGTAAATCTCGGCGTAGGCCTCTCCTATGACGTACGCCATGAGCCCGACAAAAAGGGCCAAGCAGAACCAGATGAAGCGGACGAAGCTGGCGGGCAGCCACCTACGGCGCATCCTAACGCCGCGCATATTGCGAGACTGCTCAGCGGCGACCTGGAGCGTCGCGTCCGGGTCGAAGGCGTCGCTGCTGAGATTCGGCCGCCGGCGGTTATCGCGACGGGGAATACTCCCTTCGGCCTCACCAGTCCACCAGGACGTGGTGAAGATGCGTTGGGTCTCGGAGAGCGACTGACGCAGCTTCAGGTGGCGCTGGGAGGTGAGGAGGATGCAGAAGGCAATGGCAACTGGCATAGCCATGACGATGAAGGTCCAGGAGATCCAGGCCGTGTTGTGGGCGGTGAGGAAGCGCGTCTCTGGGACCAGATAGATGGGGATTGGGACTGCTATCGAGATAAGGGCGATGATAGACATCGTAACGGGAAAGCCAAAGGACTGCGGCCACCTGCGTTTGAGTGTAAGTATGTCTAGGTGCTTCTAAGGAGCGTGAAAGGGGGTCCTGACGTACCAGTTCAAGCTGTACAGGTTGAAGACCTTGGTGATCCATATCAGAGCCGTAATGTTGTAGAAACCGTAGTACACGAAGAGAAAGAACCAAAAGTTGATCTGTACTCTTGCTTCTCCGTGGCCGGGTATCTTACGCCCAGACCCTGGCAGGGGATCACTTCGATCATCGTCATCTTCGCCGGGAAAGGAGTACTTTGGGAACGGTATCGCACACCATGCAATAGCCTAGGTTTCCCTCCCGTGTTAGTCCCAATCACTCGCCAACTCTTCGATCCGTCCGACCCATTGTCAGGAGAATTGCTAAACATACCAGAACAGCAGGCATCAGCACCAAGACTCCATACCGACTCCACCATACGTCGACAACGCCCTTGACGGCACTCTGCTTCGGTTCGACCCAGACGTTGGAGATCTTGCGCCAGGTGCGCGCCCACGCGCCCAACTCTTCCCAGTCGCCGCCCCTAGCAGCATCATTATCGTGGTTCTCGAGCCCCGAGGCAGACAGAAGCGCGCCGTAGCCGACGTATACGCTTCCACGGTTATTAGACGTAAACAAGCCGAGGGTGCTCGAGCGGCGGCGGCGGCCGGGGACGTCGGATCGCGGGGGTACGGCGCGGAAACGGCCCAACAGAGGGGAGGCGTCGCTCGTGAGGCGGGTGCGGGACTCGTTGCCTTGGGTGAATTGGAAGAAGCTCGGCATCGCTTGGATTTGTAAGGTTTGGTGGGTAGGTCTGCTATATTTGCGACATTTGGGGTGTGTTGTTGTTGTTTTGTTTCTTCGGCCGAGGGGGAAAGACTCGTCGTGTGCTTTTTCTTCTTTGATTCCCAACTTTACTTCAACGCAGTTTCTATGTTCTTCGGGGAATTCGGGGAAAAGAGGCTGTAAACCCGTCTACTACGTTGTTGTCTCGAAACGCTGCGCTGAATTACACAAATGCGCAAAGGCGGATCTCGAATGTGTCGTTTGGGCGTCGGGAGCTCATGGTGTGAGGTGAAGGAATCCCGGACAACCATCCTGTGTTAATTGGGATTTCAGTGCGCTTATGACGCTAAGGCCGCCATGTGCCTGGGACGGTCCCTGGAATCTTGGTGGGCATGGCGGATCCAACGTCCTTGTGCAGCGGGCGCTAGCGCGCATTGAGCGGAGCATGGAGTGCGTTGGCAGTGGGGGCTTCGGCCACGTTCTGCCCCCGATGCGCCCCCGGCCCCGGACGATGGCGTATGAGGACGGATGCATCAATCATTCGCATACTAGACGGAACAGGGGAGATGAGTTTGCAATGCGATGTTAAGATGATAAGACGATAAAGCCTTGCATTCGTGACTGTCTAGGGATTGGATTACTACCGCATATCGATCCATGTCTAAGGACTCTGAGCAACTCCTTGCGTATGCGTATTGATGATCGCTTGCTTGTGCTATCCTCGGATGAGGACGCTACGTAAAAAGAGGAAGATCTCATGATGCCCGTGCTAAGTCGTGCAATAGTGCACAATGTGGCTATGTATAGCCTCTTTACTCATCCTGGTCCATTGTCTCCTCGAACCCTTCTGAGTCGCCAGTATCGGTATCGTCAGAATACTCTTTATCCTGAGAAACATCAATAAACTCGGTGCTGTTCATGCCTTCGCCTTCCTCGCTATCAGCGCTGCCCTCCGTGCCGATTTCACTCTGAGAATCCTTGGCATCATCTAGAAAGGCCACAACTTTGGCAGTTGGTGACTTCTTTGGTGGCTCTAATACGTCGCCGCTCCATGGCTTGCACTCTTTGACGAGCTCACCACACTTGAGACACGTCCAGCCTTCACCTTCTTCGCGCTCTAGACGAGTTGCAATGCAGACAAAGCAGTAAATGCAGCCGCAAGGAATAGTCTCGTAAGGATTGGTGATATCGGTTTGGGATGAGCCGATAACACCACTTGATGCGGCCGCTGCCATGATCTCGGTTTCTGTGCTCGCAAGGGCGTTCTGATCCTGATAGCATATGGCGCATGTGCGTTCGGGCAAGAAGCCCAATTCACCATTTGCCGACTTATCTTCGTCTCCCTTTGTGGTGATGATCTCTTTCGTCTTGCGCCATGTCCTTGAAATCCATCTCCTCCACCGGTTGATGCCAACAAGCGGCAGTATGAATAGCAGAAACTCCGTGAAAGCGTGCCAAACAAGTTGTCGGTTGAGGTACTCAAAAGAGACCTCTCGGCTCACCTGACTGGTCGGTGGAGCCAGGCGCATTCGTAAGACTCTATCGAGAAGGGTGCGATATCTTCCCTGCAGTAGAAAGACGAGAAACGAAACAAAGGCTGCTCCAGCGTGGAGCGTCGTTATTCGAGACGTCAGCCGCGACAATCTTTGGAGTCGAGGGTTGGGCTCGTCGCTGTACCCATCGTCGTTTTCGAGCAACCAGTTCTCCCACTTCTCCCAGCCGTATTTCCCAAATACGGTGGCCAATCCATATAGTGACTTCTGCCACCTAGATGGCGCAACAAGGACGGATCCATCTTTGCGCGCATCCGTGTATTTCAGATTCTGTAGAGCTGCCCCATACGTCGCGTCGTTGTCCCAGACTGTCAACTTGAAGAGGATGGCGCGGAGTGCAAGAAGGATCTCGGCAGACCAGTCGTCTTTCAGGTGGCCGCCAGCAAAGTACTTGAGTGCATCGCCAACCTGGCCGCGAAGCAACTCCAACAGTTCGTCATCGAGTAATTCTGCGTCAACTTGTCCGACTCGGAAGGCGGGACGAGTGCCGTCTTGCGTTGATATCGAGTCCCATGCTGAACCGAGGCGACTGAAAGGGAATGGCAAACGATCAATCTGGGCACGGGCGCGCGAGGTATCGCGCTGGGCGGCGAGTCGTGCTGCGTTATCGGCTTCGCGGGCTTGTCGTCGTGCTGCCAGGCGCTGCTGCGCTTGCGCAAAGTTGGTCGATGTCATCTGGGCGGCATTGGGTGGTGGAAGGTGGTGGTGAGGTGCAAATTGCGATGCATCACACCTCTTCCCCCAAAGTGGCTGATGATAAGGTGACGGGAGGTCTGGTACCTCAAGAGTGTGAAGTGGAGGAAAAGCCGAGGTCCGCTCTGCTCACCTGCATCGGCTGCCACCAAACCCGCTGCGCTGGGCAAGTCTCCGAGGCCCCTGCCTGCCGCGGACAAGCTGGGGATTATTAC